GGGTAGTGGTAAGAGTCAGCACACATATAGTTTATAGACAGTGCTCTAGAGGGACAGAAGTCCTGAGTTCTAGTACAGAAGGGTGTGGAACCCTCAGAACTGAAGGTATGAGAGTAGAGAACTGTAACATCACCCCCCCTCTAAAACCAATCATCCCAATTGGTGAGCATTAGGCTTGGTCAGCAGTTCAGGCATAGGTTGGAACAGTAGGGTTTGGAAATCTGTGAGGCAGAGTTGATACAGAGCACCTGGATGAAGTTAATAGAAGTCTCAGATTGTCTTAGCAGTATGAGTAAGATTCTCAGCAGGTTCCCAAGTGTATTCTTCAACTAAGTATCCCTTCTAGTGAATAAGGAACTTGAGCTTTCTGTACACCAGCTTAGCATCTGCTATGTATTCTACTTTGTATTCTGGTTCAGAACTGATGAGTTCTGGTGGAGGTAGTAGGGGTCTTTGTTGTGAAGGAAAACCTGGATTATAGTATTAAGACAGTAGAACCTTGTTAAACACTGGGTGTATGCACTTCCATATTGCTAGAAGTTGGAGTTTGTAGACAGAGGTGCTAACCTTCTTTTTAATAACAAAGGGTCTGAAGTGCTTGTTGTCCAACTTCTTCATTAGGTGATCTATGGTTAGGTTAGTAGCTTTCAGCATAACTTTGTCACCAGGCTGGTAATCCTTGGCTGTAGACCTCTTCCAATCATAGTTCTGCTTTATAACCTGTACTACCTTTTCTAAAAGAGCTTGTGTATCCTCCCTGGTTCTGTGCATCTGTTCTACAAAGTCTGTTGTGGATTCAGAACTACTGTTCTGGTTCAGAACTGTCCCCTAGTACAGATGTCTCTCATAATTGAGGAAGAACAGGGACTGTCCTGTTGTAGAGTGTTGCTAGTTATTATGTACAAATTCTGCCAGAGCTAGCCATTCAGACCAATCTGATTACTGATGATTGATGAACATCCAGAGGTAGAGCTTGATCTCCTGATTGACTCACTCAGTTTGACTGTCAGTCTGTAGGTGATAGGTAGTAGAAGGGTTCCCTTGAATTCTGAGAAGTGTATACAAGTCCTGTATGAATTTTGACTCAAATTGTGGTCCACAATTATGAATGAGCTTCTAAGGGAGTCTGTGCAACCAGAAGACATGATCCTGATAAATGTACACTATACCTTTAGAAGTGAGTTCTGTTCAGGTCAGAACTGTATGGACTTGCTTGGAGAATTGGTTGACAATCATACAGATAGTGTTGTAACCCTAAGACTCAGGTAGCTTACTAATCAGGTCCACCAAGACTTCTTCCCAAGGGTGATCCAGGATCTGATACAGATGTAGGGGAGCCTGAACCCTTGTCTAGTAGGTCTTAGTCTGTTGACACATATTATAACTAGTCATGTACTTCAGGATTTCCCTCTACATTCTGGGCCACTAGTAGTTCTGAGTGATGAGTTCCTGCATTTTGTGTTAGTCTGAATGTCCTACAGTCAGATTGTTGTAATGAGCTCAGACAATGTCCTCCTACAGTTTCTGATCCTTCAGAACATACAGTCAGCCTTTCTAGTAAACCTGTCCATCCTCATCCTCCTCCTAATCCTTAGCCTGTTTCTCTAGTTGCTTCACTATAACCTGGTCCTGTGTGTGTCTCAGAGCTTACTGTATGTAAGTGGTAAAGTCAACATCCTCAGATTTGAGTCAGATCTCTTGGATTGTTTCAGACACAAAACAGGAATTGTCTAGGAGAACAAGATTTTTGTTATCATTCTCCCCCCTTTCATGACCTACTTGTCTCAAGAGTAAATCAGCTTTTGTCATTTGTGTTCCAGGTTTGTAGATCAGTACAAAGTCAAAGTCCTACAGTTCTAACATCCAGTAGGCTTGGCAGCAGTTGAGCTTCTGAGGCACTCAGAAGTACTAGAGATTAAGGTGATCACTCCAAATCTCAAACTTCTGTATAGTACTAAGAAGATATTGACACTACTCCTCTAGGGAACAGACAATTGTAAGGAGTTCCTTGTTATAGATAGGGTAGTTCTGTTCTGTTACAGAGAGGGATTCTGATTGGAATGCTATCAGACACTACTTTCTGTCAATGAACTAGGACAGTACTACTCTATTTACAAAGTCAGAAGAGTTGGCTTTAACTCAGAACTTGTCTACAACTGTTAGAACTGTTAATACAGGCTTGCTGGTAATAGTCTGCTTGAGGGACTCAAACACAGACTACTACTGATTATCCTATTACTAAGGAACATCCTTGCTGGTAAGATTGTGAAGGGGTCAGGCAATAGTACTAAAGCCTTGAATGAAGTATTAGTAGTAGTTTGCAAACCCAAGGAATGCTTGGACCTGTTTCAGGTTCTGAGGTTGTGACCAGTTCCAAACTGTAGTCACCTTTGCCAGATCCATACAGACCTCTCCTCCACCAATTACAAAGCCTAGATAATCTACTGACTCCTGTACAAAAGAGTACTTTACTTCTCAGAGGAATAGTTTATTATCTTGGAGCCATTGTAGAACTACTCAGATCAGTCAGTAATAGTGCTTGACTGTCTGGGTGAAGATCAGAATGTTGTCCAGATACACACTAACATGCTCTGAGTCAATCAGATCTGTAAGAATGTGATTCATGAATGACTAGAATGTTGCAGGCAAGTTGGTTAGTCTGAAGAACATTATAGTTAGTTTGTACAATCCATGATTGGTTCAGAACACAGCCTTCCACTTATCTCTGTCTTGGATCCAAATATTATTGTATCCCTATCAAACATTCAACTTAGTGAAAACCCTAGATGTATGTGTCTTATTAATGAGCTCCTGAATCAGGAGGAGCAGGTACTTGTTTTTGACAGTACCCTTATTGAGACAATAATAATCCTGGACTGGGCAGAGCTTCCCATCTTTCTTTTTGACAAAGAAGAAAGGGGAGGCTATAGAGGACTTTAAGGGTTGGATCCAGCTGTTCTAAAGATTTTCCTAAAGGAACTCATTGAGCACCTCCTACTTGTCTCTGTTGAGTAGGTAGACCTTACAATCCTTAGGTTGGAAACCCTTAGTCAATTCAATTGTATAGTCCTAGAGACAGTATTTAGGAAGCTGGTCAAATTCCTCTTCACTAAAGACTTTGGGGAACTCTCAGACAAAATCTGGCAGGCTGGGTCTATATACATTCTAGAGTAGAGTTGTTCTGAGAGGGTTCTAGACTGGTTCTGTCTTGAACATCCTTTGGATCAACTCTATTCTGTCTTGACTAGAATATGTATCCACATATCTATCCTAGTCAAAGAAGAACAATCAGTCACCTTCATCAGAACTGTTAGTAACATCAGAAGTGTCTGTATCCACTTAGAACAGTAGTGTAAGGTAGTTGTAAGACTCAGGACACTGATCAAACACAAGTGTCTACTCTAACCAGTCAATAGTAGGGTTGTGAGCTTTGAGCCATTTGAATCTAATAAAGACATCTGTCTTTCTGAGGTTGGTGACTCTGAACTCAATACTTTCCTCATAATCCTAAATAGTCATCTGTAGTTGGACAAACTTGGTGATCTGACCATTCTGGTTTAGGGTTCTGTCTGTATTGTATACTAGGATCAGAAGTAGAACACATCAAGTAGGGAGGTGGTGTTCCTACACAAAGGCCTTATTAATGTACAAACCAGTGTATCTACTGTCTACTAGAACTGTTGTTCAGATCTGGGGGGATCCTGAGAAGGGAGCTAAGAGGATAGGAACCTAGAGCTAGTGTCTAGAACATTCTTGAATGAACTGCTACTTGTTCTGAAGGGAATGTACAGCTTGTACAGCCTTGTTGTCTGAGAGGGTGAGTATATGTGCCAACATTTCCTTATTAACCTCTCTCTTTCAACAAGGACAGACCTATGTCCTCAGCTGTAAACTCAGCTGAGGCCATCCCTACTTAATACTATAGACAAACTACTGAGTAGTGAATAGGGCTGGGTAATGTTTCAAACGTTCTGAGATCTTGAAACACAGAAGTGGCAGGTCAGATTGTACAGATTTAGACTTGGATGAAGTACAAAGAGAAGAATCAAAAGAATCAGAAGAAATAGGAGAACTATCTACTTTTGTTTTCAACTTTTTTCTTTCTAATAAATAATTTTGTTGATTTATTTTTTCTACTTTTTCTACTTTTTCTACTTTTCTTACTTTATTTACTTCTAATCCTACAGTGTTTATTGAATCAAAAGTGGCCATTAAAAAATCTGAGTCATAGTCCTTCAGCACCACATTTACTGTTAGGCCTCTATAAAATCCTAGGGTACATAGTCAGGGTCTAGGAGTTCCAAGATGACTTCTAGATTTGTAGAGAAGGCTTCTTACCACAAATCCTGCTTGTCACTCATTATTACTCTAATAACCTAACAGATGTACTATTACTTCTGTAGGCAGTCCTTAATTTGGTGCCCTGACTTTCTACAGGCAAAGTATGCTTCTTACTTTTAAGCTTCTCTAATGTCTATCAGAATGGATTGATTGCAAATTACAGGCAGATTGATCTGAGGGCTTAGAACTGTCAGAGCTAGATGTATGTACAAGTATTCTGTACAGACTTAACACATCTGAGCTGTAGCTTGGTTGAAGGAGATGGTGCACATCTTCTACTCAGTGTAGGTGACTAGTTCTAGCATTATTCTGAGAATCTTATCAACCAGTTCTAGGTGAAGAGCTTTTTCAAGCATTCTAATAAGGACATTATCAAACCCAAGTGTGAATCCTGCCTTCCAGGCTAGAATATTAAACTCCTGAAAGAAGGTATTGGTGGAATGTTTGCCCTGTTACAGAGATGTAAGCTTGTTCTGTACATTGTACTTCTCATTTGGATTGATGAAGGAAGCACAGAGCTGCCCTATGAATTCTGAGTACAACTCATTGTTCTGAAAACAGATCAGGCTTCTAATCTAATGACCTTCAATCTAGTTCTAGGCTCAGGTGGCTGTATTACCTTCCTTCATAAAGGAGAGGACAAATAGGATGTGATTGAGATCTAAGGATAGATTAGTTGAAGCAGCAGCTATGTATAGTTCAACTTGGCACTGGAAGTTCTTGAAGTACTACCTATTAAAGTCTAAAGGGCAGGCTACATACACTTTCTTTCTAGAACAGGTTGTAACTTCTAGAACAATTGGAACAGGTTCTAAAGGGGCTGAGGGCACATGGTTGGTAAAGGCCTCTTAGATGGAGGTCTATATGTATTGAGCTAATTCTGCTTGTAACTGCTGATCTGGCAGGACAGTAGGGGTGGCAGTTGGTATAGTAGGGTCTATGTTTACACTACAAAGGAATTGACACTAAACTAAAAGGGGTAATGAATAGGTGGCCACCCTATGAATCGTATTTGTGCAGAGCTGGCAATACTGGCTGCTGCTTTTTATTATGTGCTCCCAAAACACAAGGATTCAGTAAGGCACAGCAATGTGTTACGGTTCTCCGCTCTTGTACCTTCAGTTCTGAGGGTTCCACACCCTTCCGTACCGGAACTCGGGACTTCTGTCCCTCTGGGGTGCTGTCTATGAACTATATGCATGCTGACTCTTGCCACTACCCTTCCTTACTTCATCATTCCATTCCTTTGACCACCCCTTCATTCTTTGTATCATTCTATGGTCTCTTACCCTTTATCCATCCCTTCATTCTTTGTACCTTTATCTTTGACATTCCTTTCTTTCATTCTTTGTGGCTCATCATTCTTAGTAGCTCATGCTCCCTGAGTGCTCTTGTGTAGTTTAGTATATATAAGTGTACAAGATCAGACTGGTCCTGTAGTCTTGATCTTGTCTACTCCAGGTAGTCCTATACTCTTAGGCTCACTCTATATACCCTACTCTTGTCTCACTCTCTCTCTCTGCCTGTTCTACAAGTTCTGACTATGTTCTAGTGCTTGTGTTCTGTATTTCTGTTGTGTAGGATAGTTGTAGCCTGGGTCCCCTCACTGAGCCTTTGGGTCCCCTCTATACTGTTACTGACATTAGATCAAGACTACCTATTACCACCCTACAACTCTCCTACGTTTTGGGCATTAGTACTTGCTGTTGTGTTGATCTCTTTCCTTTGTCCTGACCCTGTTACATTTTTAAATTTTAAACTTTCTAAACCCTTTTAAACTTTTGCCACCCTTCTTCAGTGATTTGTGTCAATTCTGAAGAATATGAGCGATATTTGATTATCGCATCTGTCCACACCCTTTTGGCATAGACTATAGAAGTTTTTATTACTGCAATATGCAGGCATTTCCGAGTCTATTGTAATTAATGAAGTTTATGCTACTTTGTTATTATAAAGTGGTTATCGGTACAAGGACATTATTTGTATGTACACACCAAATTGCGCAAATGTCTCGGGGAAGGCCAAGGTAATGTTTTCCACGTGTTAACCCATTCGAAGAAGGGAATATAAATGTTTCAGCTTTGTATCCCTGGTTACAACGCGTGTAGTTGACAGCATTGCCTCCAACGGCCCTGTAGCAAATGAAACGGCCTCTCACCAATCAACCAAGTAAGTGAGCAGATTTAAGCAGCAGGCTCCAGCAGAATTGTGAGAAAGCGGGTTTTCTCTTTGATTTGCTTCCGAAAAAAGAAAGGCCGAACATGTCGGCTACAATTACCATTTCTGGCGAAACACGTCAACAGGCATAAATATCATTACATGGGAAACTACACACGCGTCTCTGTTGATGCTCTTGTCGGAACAATAGCACGCGTTTCTTAAACATGCCGCAGCCGCATTATTTCTGCTGTACAGGCGTGCATAATAGTAAAGCGCGCGGCTATCTCAGTCACTGGCTGTCCGTGAGAGACCGGCATGCCCGACTTGTACAGAAGTTGATGATGCTGCGATGTTTGCGCCCCGTTTCTGTGCTACTTGCTCGCGAGGCTGTTCACGTCCCAACTCGCCTTTAGATCGGCGAACTCAGCTCTTCTGTCGCTTGTCTTCTAACTACCACCATGGTCACTCGTAGGCCTCGTCGATGGCTTCGACTGCATTTCCTAGCTCTGGCCCTGCTTTTCGCGAACCTCGCGGCTGCTTTAGATTTGGGTAGTCCGACAGACTATGCGCCGCAAGTCTCTGTTACTTGCCCTGATACCTCCGCCACACCTCTTGTCCGCGTCTTCACCCCCCAAACCCAAGCTTTACACCCTCTCGAAGCTAACTATATCTCTGAACGGGAATCTACTGTCATTGCCAACGCATGGGAAGAATGGCTTGGTGACGGCTCGGCGATCGGTTACAACTTGAGCGCTTTTGGTGGCAACTATTCAAGAGTGGGAATTGCAATCGCTGGTGGCGGCTACCGTGCAGCACAGCTCGGTGCTGGAGTTCTCTCAGGTCTCGATGCACGAGATGAAGTCGCTAAGAAAGCTGGGACAGGAGGTTTCCTGCAGGTGGCATCGTATATTTCTGGACTTTCCGGTGAGTCATTAATGCGCCGAGTGTGATTTATTTGAGCACCCGGCTGAATACTGTGGAAACAGGTGGCAGCTGGGTAACGGGTTCAATGTTCTTTAATGACTGGCCAACAATACCAGACTTGGTCTTTGGAAATGGTGGAAATCTATCAGGTTGGGTCTTAGATTTGAATCTCGCAAGTCCAGACGGGTTGGATCTATTTGACAATGACAACCAATATTTCTTTGGGAGTATCTTATGGAGCGTTGTGGCGAAGGCTGACAAAGGCTTGTACGTGTTGATCTCTACCTCCTATGACATGGCATTCCCTAATATTAGTCCAGAGATACGAGCTTGACAGATCCATGGTCTCGCATGATCTCCTATCATTTCTTAAATGGCACAAGTCGCCAGAACTTCTTCACGAATGATTCTGCACATGGAGCTGGGCAAATTTGGTCTCGCATTCCGGAGATCCCTGCTTTCCAACAGCATATGACGCCTTTCCCCCTCATCGTCGTAAATTCAAGGCCTGTCGGTTCAAACCTGACAACTATTTTGTCTCCTGAACCGATCGTCTATGAGGTGAGAGTCGCATCATGATTGTTGCAGAGGCAAAGGGATTTACTATCGCTACTAAGGTAACACCAGCTGAATTTGGTTCCTGGGATCCAAACCTGTCGGCTATGGTCAACCTCACTTACGCTGGGACTCACTTCAATAATGGGACACCACCAAATAATACAGCATGCGTCACTGGATTTGATCAGGCCGGCTTCGTAATGGGGACGAGTGCCAGTTTATTCAACGTACGCTTTCATTCGTCTCATCACGGAAACCACCTAATTTTGCATCGTTATATACAGCAAATTCTTGACTTTGCCCATAACCAATTACAAGGATTCAGCAAGGGCGATGCCTCGTCCTTGCTGTATGTGTTAAGTAGGCAACTTACGGAAGTCCGAACTCGTGCAGACGATGTTGCAAACTGGCCAAATGTAAGATTCAATTTTATATTAATATATGCTTGCGGATCTCTAACAAAGTTGACACAGCCGTTCCAATCCTTGAAACCCGACACATTCGAGGACTCAAACTCGACATGGCTTGACCTGATTGACGGCTCGTCGAATGAAGAGAACGTGCCTTTGGGTACTATGTTCGTGAAAGCACGAGGTCTCGACGTTATCCTCGGCTTAGATGCAAGTTCGGATGACCCGAACCTCCGTTGGCCAAAGTTAGTATGCAGTGCCTATACATATTCTTCCTTTGCTAACGATCATACAGTGGATCGTCAATTGTGTTCAGTCAGCAAAGGATGACGAATTTACTTTCATCATCGCATCAGGGCTTCCCACCTATTCCAAATGGTACCGCCGGTTTTATAGAGACGGGAACAAACCAGAGGATTACATTCTTTGGATGCGATCCAAGTCATAATCCTCCGGAATTCCCTCTCCTTATGTATCTACCAAACAATCCATCCGTTAACGGAGATGATCCTGTTACTAAGTGAGCAGACAACCACGGATTTTCGACGAGTTAGAACTCATTCTTACACCATCTAGCACCAACACGTTCCAAATCCAATATACTGAAAAGCATTCAAGACTTTTCCTTGACCAGGCACAGAACATGACCACCAATGGATTCATACCCAATCTAAAGGGTGCAGACAAAAACTTTGGCATGTGCTTCCAATGTGCGGCGATTGATCGTGCACGGTATAAGCAGACACCAGTCATCCCACGTTCCGACATCTGCACGAATTGCTTCAAGCAGTATTGTTTCGATCCAAGCAATCCGCCGAGCAAGTCTGAGATCGTTGGACGACATTACGAGTTCGTCGACCCCGATCCACAGGGTGCCAGTAAAGTGAAGGACTTCTTCGCTGCACACAAGGCACCGTTTATTGCAGGTATTGTCCTGCTGTTCATTTTGATCATCGCTGCGGTATTTTTCCTGTGCGTACTTCCTCGCTTTTCCTTACGCTTGCGAGTTCTGAATACTATTCACTTATTCAGACGGACTTACTATAAGAGAAGAAACAAGAAATACCAGCGTCTCAGCGTCATGGCTAGTGAATCGGATGCACCCTGGAAGGCATATGGCGACCGACTAGGATCATTTGAGTTACCCAGCCGAGAGCATAAGTAACCTCCGTTGTTATTTGTCCTCCTTTTTTTTTGGGTTCTGGCTCTTATAGACAGTTCTACTTGTGTCTTAATGTCTCAATGTCTCTTGCATTTTGTATTATGTTCGATATCATTGCATTGTTTATCTCCATAATTATGGACTGTAGATTTGACTGAATTTACCCATGATAACATTTTAATCTCCTGTGACTGACCAAAACTAATAACAATACATGCACGGCATAAAGACGAATCAAGAATGGTTATGGGGGAAATATTGTACAGCACATATAGGAATAAGACGTAAAGAGCATCGTAAGAAAGCGTATGGCCATCCGGTGGCATATTATACATGGCAGTGGAACATAGACGTAGGATGTGGATGATCGCACCCCGAACTAACAGACGAAAGCGAACAGAGCAAGCAACCTCATGACAACTCATCTATCGTCATCTCTCCATCAAAGTCATACGTACATCTCTCTGAATAGCTCGCATATTCTTGCTCTTGTCTCCTTTCGGCTTGCACTTGGACGTTAAGCTTCTGTGCGCCGAGGGGTATTCGTCGAACACGCGTCATTGCTGTGCGTGGTTTGCCTTCTGGAGGGACAGTTACGGACTTGTACATTGCTAGTTCATCGCGGAGGGTGGAGATTTCGGAGAGTGCGGATTCGGTGTCTTGTGTGCTTTGTATGAGTTTCTATCATTCCAAGAATCGCCGTTAGTGGTTTCACTCTCCAGAAAGAGGAAATGAAGATGATATATGTACCTGTTTAGTCTCTGCAAGTTCGCGTCGTATACGGTCTACGTATAAGATTTTCTGTGTAGGGTTTCGATGACTTAAGATCTCAGCGTTGAATTGGCTGAGGCGATTGGCTTCGTCTTCGGCGAGAGCGTTGCGTGCGACGAGTCCGCGCATCTCTTCTGCGATGCTGGCGTATGCTTCTCGGTATGCGTCTGCTCCGGCGAGTTCTGATGTCAATCTGGAAAAGTGGTACGGCGTCAGCACGCACGTAAGAGTAAAACATAATGAGAATGAAGAAGATATAGATGGTGAATGGTGAATTTTGAATTTTGAGTAATGAATAGGGCTTACTGCTCAATCCCAGCTTTCAACGCGTCTTCGGCCATCTTGGCTTTATGCACGGAAGAGTTGAGACGACTCGTTAATTCGCGTTCTTTTCGAAGGAGGTCTTCACGTTTGGCGAGCTCTGTTCGTGAGCGGCTCTCCGCAGCTACTAACGCTTTCTCCGAATCGGAGAGTTTCGATTGGAGGTTGAATATTTCTGTTGACTGTGAAGTGACTTTGTTTTGAAGTTCGTCGCGTTCTTTCCTACGAACTTCAGCCTCCTGCGAGAGCTTCGTAATAGCTACTTCGGATTCTGCGAGTTTGCTTTTCAATCGCGCTGCCTCCGTGCGTTCGGATATTAAAGAGCGTTCGGTACTTGAAAGGTGGTCGACAAGCTGTTTGCCTGTTTCGTAGCTGAATCTGAGTTGTGCTTGACCGAGTTCAAGAAGAACTTCTTGTTCTTCCTCTCTGTCTTGCATTTCCTCCAGTAAGAACTCATTGATCTCTCCGGTCAACGAATCATCGACTGGGCGAGTTAATGCCAGCGAAGCAGCAGCCTTCGATTCCTTGGTCTGCCAATCTAACTCTGTGTATGCGTCGCGTAGTTGTTCAGATAGAAGAGTGTTGGTAAGTTGTGTTTGTCGAATGAGTTGTGCGAGTTCGAGGACCTGTTCCTCTGAGTTTCCTAACTTCCTCTCCAACCGAGCAACTTGAAGGTGTAAGCGTGACGCTTCGAGCTTGAGCGTCTCGTACGCTGCTTCAGGAGCTGACGAGGAGGAGAGACGACTGTACTCTTCGGTGGCCTGCTTGAGCGTTGCTTCGAGTTCGAGTACTCGTGTGGCCAGAGAGTCGGACGTCGAAACTGCTTCGCGTTCCAAAGCATTCTTTCTGGATTCTGTCTCCTTAAGCTCCGCTTGAGCACGTTGTAATCGTTGCTCGGTGATCGTGTTCTTGACGCGAGCCTCTCTAGCTTCCTTCTCCAGCTTCGTCCTCTGTTCCCGAGCTTTCGTCTCCGCTTCCTCAACACATTGTTTCTCCGCAGCCAACAAACGCTGAAGCTCCGCTATCCGCTTCTCCTTTTCCTGGATCTCATCCTTCTTCAACTTCTCCGCTGTGCTGATCGCTTTCCGCAAACCTGCTGCATCTGTCTGCTTATTCGCGAGTTTGTCCCGCTCGGCTTCGACGACGCGGAGCTTGACTCGTAGTTCCCGAGCTTCACTTTGCGCGGCTAGGATTTCCTTCTTGAGGTCTTGTGCGCGGGATTCTATTAGTTCGTTGTGTTTCTTGAGTCGGGCGATTTGTTCGGCTTGGTCTTTGTTGGCTTTGCGAGTTCGGTCGTGGTCGGCTTTTAGACGTTCGATCTCGGCTGCATGCTAACATATCATTTAAGTTAGTTACACTTGAAGGGATGTGGAGATTGGTTGGGACACGCACTTCTCGCTTTCCTTCGCGATGTACTTCTTCCAAGTCGTCGAGCTTGCGTTTGAAGTGGATGAGTTGAGGGTGACTTATGATTGTTGTGTTTGCCTTGTGGTCTGTCATGACTCTCTGTTGTCTTTTTATCAAGTGGTATTAGTGACTGTTTATACGACAAATTAATAGTATACTTACCTTGCTGTGAGAGCCAGAGTAAATCGAGGATGTCAGCCTGAGTGGGGAAATTCAACGAACGCGCGTCGCGTCTGCATCACGTGATCGCCTTACCTAGACTGGAAAAATAAAATGGAAACGGGTGAACTCGCAAGTGATTTTCGTACTTGTGCATTGTATGACTGGCCGCTGTCCATGCTAGCGTCTTCATCCAGGCATGCCTTCAATGCATGCAATCGTTCGTCGTCAACCAAAAAGTCGCTAAAAGACGTTTCATCAGCATGGCTGGCGTCGTCTTCACGAAGTACGTCTTGTAGAACTGGACCATGCTTTGCACATTTTGCTCACTTCCAGTCTTTCATGCATCCAGGTCCGACGGGCGTCCGCAACTCTTCTTCTCGCTCTGCAGTCATACGTGACACCGGAGGCTCGAGCGGATACTTTGCACGTACTTCTCGCCTTGCCCTACGCCAACGCCCACCACGCCCTTCGTCACAAGTTCTACAAGTATGGAAAACTCAAGACGAGGCTAGGTTTAATATCAAACGCGGTGCGCAATGCGCGGAATTCAACATAGCTATGCGAGACTTTCTGTCACGGGGAAAGGTAGATAAGGTTCTCGAGCAAGTCCTACTCATGAAGCGGGCGAACGTTCGACCGGATCTCACGACATATAATACTCTACTTCAAGCGCTTGCTTCGGAGAAATTGCGACTAGAGGCATGGGCGGCGTTCAGAGATATGATAGTCATGGGTATAGAACCCGATGCAAACATATTTAACCATTTGCTCTATGTGAGCAAATATCTATTTACATTTTCAAATGCTGCAGTATTGAACTGACTTTCCCAAGGCACATCGCGACCAAAACAGTGATGCGATCCATAATATCTTAGACGAGATGAACAAGCACAGCGTAAATCCCAATACGCGGACATACGACTTCTTAATCAACTATTATCTGGACAGCGATAATTTAGAGATGGCGTTACTCAAGCTTGCTGAGATGAATGACTTAGGATTCTCTCCAAGCCTCAAGGTTGCTAAAAATCTGTCCCATACCGCGGGACAATATGGTCATGCACGTCTTGCCTTGGAACTTGCGGATGCGTATGAGGAGACGACGATCCGTCGACTTGATTCTGAAGCATGGGTCAACATCTTGATACACAGCGCGGAACAGCTTTACGTGCGTCCAATGTTCTTCCTCACTCAACATTGATTCTAATCATCTCCCTAGGCGGAAGGTGTTTTGCGGTGCTGGAAGAAAGTGGTCACTGATCTTCGTGTCCTCGTCGACGAAGGTCTCTGCCAACTGGTATTGCATACCGCTGCTCGACACGGTCTTCCCGTCCTCGCTTCAGAGGCAATACGACAGCTCGAGGCAATCGGGGTACAGTACCAAGAATATCATTTCTCACCAATGCTCGATGCATTCGTCAAGAATCAGCAACTAAAGGAGGCCTTTTCCGTTCTTGACTTGATGCGTCAAGCAAAAGTGAATCTGACGATTTATTCTGCGGATTCGATCCTCCATGCCATCAAACACGATCCGGAATTGATTGATGGTGCTTATGCACTCTTAGAAGAGCTACACAAAGAAGGCAGTACCGTCGACGTCATCGCCGTAAATGTTCTCATCAAGGCTTGTGCTATGCTCAATGACTTGCAAAGGGCTGTTGGGATATACAAGACTATGTCCTCACTTGGTGTCCAACCTGACGCAGAGACATATGAAATGTTGTTGAAAGCATGCAGAGCGGCACGACACGTCGAGTTAGGAGAACGCTTATTCAACGAGATGCGGGAAGCGGGGCTTAACCCAACAGCAAGGTCATTCGAACGACTCATCAGTCTCGTGTTAACTCAAACGGACTACGAAAACGCGTTTTTCTACTTGGAAGAGATGAAAGTCTCTGGCCACACGCCTTCATACCCCACATACGAGGACATCGTTAAGAAATGCGTATCAGCGAGCGATGGTCGGTATAAACTCGCTGTGGAAGAGCTTAAGCAGATGGGTTATAGAGTCTCGAGTCGGTTGCAAAACTTTATTGATTCGGGAGGACAGGAGTGGAAAGAACAGGTGTCCGAGGACGAGAAACTACCTTTCGAGACGCGTAAACGGATTTGGGAGATGGGTGTTGCGCAAGAAGCGGCTCAGACTCAGCCTTAGATACTTTACTTGCATAAATATTTTCATAATTTTACTCTGTCTTGTCGGACTGAGTCAAGTGTGTACAAACAGTCCCAAATAAGGTATTGTAATTCCCACGCCGCTTTCGTGTTGGAGATCAGTGTCACACCGTGTCAGTCTCACTCTCATTCAACCACTAGCACACGCGGCACGTTAGGCGCGACTTGCTCCTTTTTTTGCATATACTCTCATTTCTTGGTTTATACTCATGGTATGTCTGTTATAAGTATGATATTTGCATAGCATTCATGTGTTGCCGAAGTTCTACTCAGAGGCGATTCTTGCACGGCGTGGTCCGTTGGCCAGAGTATGGCTCGCCGCGCACATGGAGCGGAAGCTCTCCAAGACCCAGACGCTCCAGACGGACATTGAGGAGTCAGTTGGTGAGTACGCTGTCTGTTAAGCCTTAGATCCTTATGTCTGACTGGACTCTGTGTTAAGGTGCGATTATGGGACAGGAAGTTGAGATCATGGCCCTCCGGCTCAGTGGTCAACTCTTGTTGGGTGTTGTTCGCATCTATAGCCGCAAGGCGAAGTATCTCCTTGATGACTGTAATGAGGCATTGTTAAAAATCAAGATGGTTTGTATTTCTGCTCTCTTGGATACGATGTAGTTGATCCCGATGCCTTGTTTCAGGCGTTCCGCCCGGGTATTGTTGATATGACAGAAGACCAGTTGACTGTCAACAAGAATGCTATTACCCTTCAAGAGAATAACATTGACCTTGACCTCCTCCTTCCTGATTTAAATTTGTGAGTTTCCGTTTCCGTCCTACCTACAGCTACCCTTGCTGACGAATTATCGTTCTAGCGACTTTGACTTTGAAGACAGACCTCGTGCTCAAGGCGGCCAGCACATTGCACGCCAGGCGGATATCACACTTGCGTCAGCCAACGATTTTCAACTTGATTTTGATGATCACAGATTCGACATAGACATAGGAGGGGACGGAATCGGTTCTCAAGATATAGATGATTTGGGAATTGACTTTGGAGACGGGCCTGCTGGTCCAACCGGAGACGACACAATGAGCGTCGAAGTCGAGGTCGGTCGTGACGCTGCAGCGATGCGCTCGCCAAGAGAATCAATTGGTTCGCACCTCCTTGGGAAAGACGTGGATATGGTATCTGTCAGAAGTCGTGAAGCATCCGAGCATCCATTTGGGGGTGGAATGGACTTTGATTTCGGTGGAGATATTGGCATGATTGACGATTTGGGCATTAATTTTGGAGACGGTGCTGCCGAAGTTGCGCCCTTGGGTGATGCTGCTGGGCTTGAAGCTGCCAGAAGATCACCGTCAAGAGTTTGTGAGTTGTATCCTTTCCGATATTTTGGCACAGCAAACTAATGCCACTTTAGCATCTCGTCTCACTACGCCTCCTCCTACGCCTCCCCCTGTTGACCCAAACGTGACTCCCCGAGCTGGTGAAGCCGCTGAGCAAGAAAACCAGGATTCTACTAAGAAGAGGAAGTTCTTGAACAAGAAACAAATCATCGATCAGGTGACAGAACTAGAGGATGGACCGGGGATGAATCTTGGCCGTGCTAGCCAAGTGGACGTCAGTGAGATCGTCACCAAGCAACAGTTTCTCCCTCGTTCTCGTAGTGTGATGCGTCTTCTGGAAATCCGACAAGATCCACTGGCACATTTCGTACCGACAAAGACAACGGCGACCGGTGTGTATTTCTGTGCTGGTCCTCCTGGTTTGGCACCGGAACTTGCAGAGATGTTCATGCGCCCCGTTACGAACATTCTTGCATCTAAACGCCGTGATACGTCACCAGATAAGCCGAACAAAAAAGCTCGACTGGACAAGGAGAACATTGAAGAAGAGGTCGAACAGGCTCGTCGTGCTGGGAGTCCTGCACCTAGTGCTGTTCTCGGCAGCGACGTACTGCGTCATGGAGACCTGGATCACGGAGGTTTCGACTTTGGAGGAGACCAGACTGGGACGATGGACGACTATCAGTTCGACGTTGATAACATTGATTTAGGTGGACCAGCCGATTTGGAACGGGCTCGATCGAAAAGCCGGTTCTCGACGCCTGCTGTTGATGGAGAGATGTTCGACGAGACCGGAGAGACGTTCGCGGATTCTAGTTGTCCGATTGCTATGTTTGATGATCGGCCGTCCCAGCAGCAGAGTCAGCAGGAGGCTGCGGAACAGGATGGGAAGGGGTATAGCCGGACGACCGTTAAGGCGTTGGCTGTTATTCGGAAAGAGCTTCAGCCGAGTGCGGGTGAGATTGGTAAAGTTATGAGTTTCCAGCAGATGTCACATAAGGCATCGCGTCGTGCGGCTGCGTCGTTCTTCTTTGAGTTGCTTGTCTTGGGGACGAGGGATTGCGTTAAGCTTTCGCAGAGTGGGCCGTATGAGAATATTGAGATTCGGGCGAAGGATAGGCTTTGGGAGCGGCAGAGGCATACTATGTCGGCGCCGCATTCTACTGCTACGAGTACATGAGCTGTTTACACGACCTGTATACTCCTTTACCTTTAATTTGTTTGCGACACCTACTCTTTTTTTTACGCACACATTTTGTCTTGCTTGCAACTGCGACACATTCTTCACATTTCTTGTATAGCTATTATTGTTCTTTTTTGTTCTGTCGCTCGTCTTACTCTGGTTGTGTCTCGATTTGTCTATTTCTTAGCCCTACGATCTATCATCCGTACTGAGTGTAATGCTCTTCGTTTATGACGTGTATACAATATAGTGAATTCAGACTTACGATGCATATGACACGGACCAAGGCTGGCATCATAGCTAATTCAAATTGCTCAATTAATTGCAACACGAGCAAATAAATTTTCAATTATCTATTCGTAGGTAGTGCGATAGATCAAATTATATGTTGAGCTAGTACACTACTTGGAAACTCAAATAAGCGTTTAATACTTTTCCTTCTGAATATTTCATCAAAAATAAATAAATACCACTATTATTTAATAATGTTCATCTTATTTATTTCTATCTAGTTATTCTTATTATCTATTTTATAATTTATTCTCATTGACTACATAGTCTGCTACTGTAGGAGGGTTCCTTACAATTAGTGCTGTGACTGTTCAGTGTTCTCTTTCACTCTGTCTCTGTTGTCTTTGTTATAGCTGTTCTTCCTCTAACTGCTTTTTTCCAAAGCTTGTCTTGTTTCTAGTGGAACTTCTGTTGAATTATTTTTTTACTTTAGTAAAGTCATTTCAAGAGCTTTTTTTCACCTTCTCATGTGGGATGTTTCTATGTTCATCTACTTTAATTTTAACTCTCTTAATACTTTTCTTGAGTAGGAGATGTTAATACTAGACAAGTCAATAGTTAGTAAACATATCTCAACTGAACCTCTGCATTGCTCAATAGCTATTATATATGATATACATAACAGTATGGTGTTATAAAGTAGGAGAAGAATCATGTTTACATATAATCTTTAATACCTACATTTTGTATGACTGAAACTGGAATAAGCAAGAAAACCAGAGTTAACTTTTATTTGCTTTTACAGTCAGAATTATATAAACCACAAAACTTGTTTCATAAATCAATATACAGGTATGTAGCAAAAGTCTTCGTCATTCCTTAAAAGGTAGATGTATTTGTAAGTGATTTGCATGCCATACATAGAAATTAGATGTAGATCAATGCTTTGAGTGACACATTGTGAAGTACAAAAAAATACAGAATTTTGCATTAATTTCACAAAATGGCTTGTATTTTCATGTTTTTTTGTGTGTATAATGTGTTCATGTATGCTAGAAATGTAAGACAAAGGTTTGATGTGTCTCTTACAGCCTTATAAGTCAACGCAAATCACTTACAGATACACTTACCTTTTGAGGAATGACGAAGACTTTTGCTACATACCTGTAGTACATAATTTATCTGAATATTGCATAATAACTTCTGTGACAATTGCAGGAGCTTGCTAATTTGCTGATATTTATTTGCAATATTAAACTAACAAAGAGTATATGTTTGTAAAGTATTAAAGACAGTACATAATTTGATTTTAGGAAATAACAGAAGTATTTGAACATTGCTCTTTCTTTTGTCTTAACATAGTGTTAAGAAGGTATAAGAGGAATGTTAACCCAAGACTTGAAGGAACCAAAAATCCACAGGTACTCATTGTACTAAAGACTAGAGTACATCTGCTAGACAAACTATTGAACAAATGACAGTATGCTCTCTATGTTGAGTGTTATTTTTACACTCTCTTAATAGATAATGAATACTAGTAAGTAATGGGTTGGACCTTGAGAGCAGCTCCACATTTCTAATAACATTTGGTCTGATACTGTATGTTTCATCCAAATATTCATGTTTACTTTTTGGGTCTTCTTTCTTCTTTCAGTGTGTCTTGTATACAATACAGTGAAACTGTAGCGTTGCTAGAATTTCACCTTGGACAATCGAGTGTATTTTTCGACTCCAATTGAACTTTAGAAGAGTCTCACGTGATCGCGAATACCTGCCACTCGTCATCTACGTGTTTCTTCCGCCGACGTCGTTCTGGTTTCACTGGTCCGACAGTCGGTCTGCAGACTGAAAAATATCACGTTGCCAGCCTTCACAGTCTAGTCTAAGGCTTACTGGGCGCACGCATCGGCGCGCTTCTTCCTCTTGCCGCGCCCTGGTTTCACCGGCCAGTCTGCAGAATGAAACATGCCACACTACCAGCCTCCACAGTCCAGTCTGAGTACTTGTTGAGCGCACAAGTAGAGACAGGATAGTCTCCTTCTTAAGCTGGCTTTCGATCGCGAGAGGGCTTGGTCCCAGAATCGACCATGAACACTGCCGCTTCCGCACTCGTCCTCTCCGCTCTGTATTCGCCGGTGCTCGCCAATGGCGTCGACCATTATCTCATTGGATTGAACCGGTTCTCAATACGTGATTCTCCTATTCAGAAGCCGATGGCCGCTGCCACCCCGCCGGACTATCATGGGCCGAGCTTCGTCGAAATGCCGGTCTTCAAGTATCAATATGTCGTATGTCGTAAATTATTTTATTGCTCAATACTGTGATCTCAACTTATCTTCTTCACATGTCACTTGATTTGTTACTCTAGCAACGAGAAATGAAGAAGGTCGTGGCGAAATATGAGGCTGCACCTGAAGTGTTTCAAGGCATTGGACTTAATCCTCAGTTGAACATTCCGTTCGTCAACAACTTTCCGGCGTTCGATGATCCCAGTACTGTTACCACGAACAATTCTGATGCCAATCAGCGCGTTTCTCATGTCCAAAAGCCGTACTCCAAACAAAGTTTACGTGATTTCATGTCGGGTCCAATTGATATCATGTACTTTGGGACACTGGACATCGGCACGCCTCCCCAGACTTTACCCTTTGACATTGATACTGGCTCGGCGGACTTGTGGGTCACCTCGGGCTGCTCGGGCTGCTTCTCGGACGAATACGACCCAAGCGCAAGTAGCACATACCAAGACCAGGGTGAAGATTTCTCCATCGCCTATGTACGTCAGTTCTTAGTCGAGCATTACTGCTACTTACAGACAGTTGTTCATTTTCCTTCCGTACTTCTATTAGGGTACTGGCGAAGTCTCTGGGCGGTTGGGCATGGACACTGTATCACTTGCCGGGTTGAAGTATACGAACCAGACGTTCGGCGTTGCAAACGTTGAGTCGCATGATTTTGACGGCCTTCCGATCAGCGGAATCATGGGTACGGCGTTTGGGTCGATTTCAACCTCGGGCTCACCGACAGTGTTCGAGAACCTCATGGCAACAGGCCAGGTTTTAGCGCCATTTTTTTCAGTCCATATGGCAAGGGCATCAAGGACGGGGTCCGAGGTATGAATATTTTAATATGACTTTCCTAATCAATATTCATCGGCATTGACGATTGTTTACTCGCTGCGAAGGTGTGCTGGGGATGTTTCGATATGAGCAAGGCAAAGGGAGCGATGACCTGGGTGCCGGTTGAATCACAAACCTACTGGACGGTCGGATTGCGAGGTGTATCAGTGAACGACAAGTTAATACAGACAGATATCTATGCTGTGAGTCCGAGGAGTTCTCTGGCATGTATCTAATGGCTTGCTCACTTTCGTTTTTAATATCGAAACATGATGCCGTGACGTGGAAACACTCAGGCGATTGACACGGGTACATCGTTGATCTACGTCCCGAGTGCGTTTGCAGAGAATCTCTACAACCTGGTGCGTCCACTCAATGTCAATGTCATGTCCTCGGGGTTGGTTTTAATACATGGATCGCCGACGTTCTAGATCCCTGGAGCGAAGCAGTCAGAACAGTTCGGACCCGGTGCGTACTGACGTTTTAGTTGTAATACCCGAGGAGGAGGAGGCTGATTACGAGAATGCCGCTTTGATGCAGGCATTTACACATTCCCTTGCTCCACAGATCTCGAAATTTCGCTGAACTTTGGCGGAACGAACTTTGCTATAAATACACGCGATTTCAATTTGGGCAAGACGAGTTCGAATTCTACGTATGTCCTTTTATGTTTTGCGCAGCCTGTACTCGTGAGAGGGTCACTCACGGTATCTGTTATTATTCTATTTATTTCTCAGAGATTGTGTCGGAGGCATTTTGGCGCCCGGCGACTCTTTCCCAGACGACCTTGCGATCGTCGGTGCGTTTTTTTCTTATCACATTACTGACACGCGGGACCTGAGCTTACTTTCGTCTTTCTTGTGTTTTCCCTTGGTTGGTGGCAACGAACGATGACAATTATGGTTTTGGTGGGGCGTAGGGGACGAATTTCTGAAGTCTTGTGAGTGATTTTTATGATGGGATGTCCCCTGATGCGGCCGTCAGGCGCGTCAGGTATGAGAATGTTACGCTAATAATTGTTACTTATTCTTTTTTTATTACCTCATTGCGTGTCTTGTGTTGTTGATGGTGGGCAGGGTACACGGTATATGATTACTCGAATGGGGCGCGTGTTGGATTCGCGCCGAGTATTAACAATATCTGAGAACTTCTTTTTGTACTGCATTTCGATTTCGTTTCGTGTTCGTGGGTTATGTGGCGTGGAGTTTTTGCTGAATTGTTGAATCTACATCTGTATCTGTCTAATCTCCTCTCATTATGACGATCGGCTACTTCGTGGTCAAAGGGATATAAGGGCGGGAAATGAACGCCGGAAGGGAAGGGCGATCAATGAATGTGATTGATTGGTTATGTCAGCCAGGGAGCATGAGAGTGAGTGATAATCATTAATCAATCAAACCAAGTTCTGGGTGTTGACCCTTGGCGAAGGACTTCTTTTGAACGTTAAAATCTACCGCATGTTCGTTGTGTGAATGGATAGGGAAATAGGGAAATAGGGAAATAGGGAAGGGAGGAATTCTTCTTTTCTTCTGTTTCCATTTGGATTGTTCTTTCTGTCCCTGGAAAGGATTCCTCGAGGCCCAAAACGTCGTGAGAATCGCTGTTGCTGTTTTACTTCAAGTAAGTCTCCCGCCGTTAAAGAAAACGAGAAAATAAAGAATAAGGAAAGGATGGCTGGGAGGTGGTAACGCGATAATCGAGATTGAGCGTGCTTTACCGTGCCAACGGGCCGATATCGGGATGGGATGGGCACGGTGTTGATGGTTGAACGGGAGCCTTTGCAACTTGTTGTTGCGGGCTAAGGATCGGTGACAGGAATATGCCTACGCCTACGGCTAAGGAGATTAATGTTGCCCGACCTTACTAAATTCCCCTTGAGACGGGAAGATCTGGAGGAAACGTACCCTATAACGTTGCTAATTAGTTGTGGATCGGGCATCAGGTTATCGCGGAAACAGGAATATTTATTTAATCCGCTGGGCAATGAGAAAATAATGGGTGGATGTGGTGTAATGATATGTAATGATATGTGTATATTGCTGCTGTGCAGATTCGTTAGATGTAAGATGTATGTAATGAGGGACGGGCGGGTGGGCGTCTGTCGGAAGTGTGATAGCATTGGATATTAACGGACAATGGGGAGATATGAAACGAAGTCTTTTTGGTTGACTGTTCTAGGCTTGTTTGTGTGATGCTGTTGTAAGCGGTCGGGTAGATAAGTCGTGGAAATGAATTATTTTAGCTGGCTGTCATAGGCGTAGAGAGGACGAGCGTCTACAGTGGAGAATAGAACAGGCACGCACCTGGAGCCGTTTCGCACGGGTTGGTAAGGGATCACATAGCAGCACACTCTCTCTGCCTCGCCAATCTTTCTTGTCTCGTCTCCTGCTTCCCGCTTTCTCCGTCCGCAGTCTGTCTCTGGGTCTGTCTACCTCCACTTCGATCCTTCCTAAGAGTGCCCATCTCACTTCGCACCGCCCACCAATCTCCGTCCAAACTCAAACTCAATTATATCCTATATTCATACCAATTACCATTACTATTACCGTTACCGTTTTTGCCAGCGCATCGTCCTCACGATAATTTAACGAATTTTATTTGGCACAGCTCTACATTACGTTCCTACGGTCCTACGCCCTCTCTTACGCGCTACGCGCGCTTCCTTGCCGAGAGTACCACGCCGTAACTACCGCTTCCCTATCTACCCACTCTACCCATCTACCGGGACGCGAAACGAAACACCGTAGTAGTGGTACTCACGCACTCACGGTTTCACACACCTCACGCTCGCTCTCTATCACTATCATCCCGCGTTGTTTCGCTTTCGTACGGGCGACAACAACAACCTCCTCGTCCTCCTTACCTCCGTCGCGAGCCAGCCAGCTGCTCATATCAAGCAGCTTCCGACGACGAGCTCCACCTCCACCACAAGTCTAGGACTCCTCCATCGTGATTTCGACGAAAGGACAGAGACAATTTCATTCCGCGCGCTCGGCTATTTTCCCTCCACGATCCCCCACCCCCGACAGGCTAGTCCACTTACCCAAACTGCACTGCCGGTGCTCCAGGCTCTCCCATTTCTTCCCCAGTCTAGGCTAGGCAGACTAAGCGAGGGACGCGTACACACAAACGATAATCGAATCGACACGAACTAAGTAAGAAAGTAACTCCATGCTTGCAGCGATGCCTGGTGTGCCGCCACAGGCGCAGCAACGCGGGGCGGCGAATGTCACCTCTTCTCCCGTTCTGGAAGACGACCGACTTTGTGCGGGGTGCAATAAGTCTGTGAGTAGCGATACGGGTGGAGTGGTTGTTGCGTTTGGGAATTCGTTATGGCATGTTGACTGGTACGTTCCACTTTTTGTTTATTGTGTTGCACTTCTCTCGTTTTCTCTAGCGCTAGCGCTAGCGAGTGATAGACTTTGTTTATCGTTTGTCGCTCGTTGGACGCACGGTCCTTCTTTCGTCGTCCTTGATCCTTCTCCTCAACTGAGTTTGGTTGTACTGATTCGATTCGATTTGATATAGCTTTAAGTGTGCAAAATGCGGGAATCAGGTTAATGTATGTCGTGTTTCACTGCTGCTAAGTTCACTATGCTATCTACTACGTGATATGGTGGTTTCTAAACTGACTATGAATTGAATTTATATAGGCGGACACCAATCTCCTGCTCCTCTCCGACGGCTCGCCCGTATGCGCGAACTGCTACAACTGCAAAATATGCAAGCTGCCGATCCTCGACGAGGCGGTTATGACGGGCGACGACTCGTTCCACGCAGAGTGCTTCCGGTGTCGAAGCTGTAAAAATCGAATTGATGAGTTGGTGTTTGCCAAGACGAGTCAGGGGTTTTATTGTATGAAGTGCCATAATGAGCGCGTCGCGAGGAGTCGACGGCATATTGCGAAACAGAAACAACGGGAACGGGAACGAGAAAAGGAGCGAGAACGTGAACGTGCGGCGCTTGGTAGTAGTTCGAGCGGCCGTAATGCGAATGCGACGACCGAGAATGGGGTCACGCCTCGACCAAAAGAGGGTGAATCTGTCGATGCGGTGAGTAGTTTGAGCCCTTTCCTACTTTTGGTGTTATTTATTTTGGGACTGATGATGAATTTCGTGTGTTGTATTGACTGACGTCGTAATTTGTTGTGGTTATTAACGGAAACGTCAGGTACCTGCTCGCCCAGACTCGGCACGCACGCACGATGTTCCCGGAGGTTCGTCGAGTGATGGTCAGGCGCAGACATCTTCACAATCACAAGCGAAGGGTTCTAGAGGGTCGTACCCGACGACATCTGGTGGTGATGCAGGTACTTTGGGTCTAGGCAACGGTGATGCCGGACAACGATCGACTTCTCCTGCACCCCCAGCCGTGTCTGTCACTGAGGCTGGTCCCAGTAGTGAACAGCAGGGGGGAGTGGAAGAGCATCATCTCAATTCACGACAGCGTGCGAATTCGCACTCTCAAGACAACCACCACCAAATTAACGGCATCTCGTCGGACCGACGTCCTTCCGTTGATGGACATGGGCTTCCCCCTTATGCGAAGTCCTCTCCGCCGGTCAGTGGGAACTCGGATGTGGAATCCGCTCGTAGCTCGGCTTCGTTTGGTTACAACGCGTCGAGCACTGAGCCGACATCACCGTCGCTATCTGTATCGGTTTCACAAGAAGGAGCGTCTTCGAGCGACCAAAATCATTGTGCTCCCGCGAACGACGAGGGAGGTTCGACTACCTTGGCGTATCTTGCGTCTACTGAGAGCGGTAGAGACCGATCGAATTCGCTTACACCGCGCGAGCGACCTGGAGACGCGTCTGGTTCTGGATGGCCTGGTGTGCTAGAACAAGAAGGACGCAGGAAGAGCCATGATGACACTAGACCTTCGTATCTACAGCCGGCGGTAAATGGGACTTCTAGTCTCCAAGTCACGAAGAAACGGGAGAAGCGCAGTTCGGTGAATCCGGGCTTACAACTTGAAGCGTCGAAGATGCTTCAGTATCATAATTTACAACGCCCTGGAACTTCTCCCTTAGGATCTCCTGCGAGGAGTCCAGCCAGTCCAACGGGTTCGACGCCTGCTTCGGCGCCTGCAGGGACGTTTGGGAGAACGCACTCACCTACAACTGTGCCTGGTGGTAGAGAATCTCCAAGAGTGACGTCTCCGTTGAGAGAGTACTTTACGAATTCTGAGGATAACGATAACGAGTTGGGTTCTACTACGTTCTATCCTCCTTCACCTCCCCCGCAACAACTTCGTACAATCCACAGTTCTACGCCTCGAAGTGCGCCGGTTGGAGCACGACCTTCAACCGCGCCTACAAGTACTCCAGGTTTTGGTAGATTCCCGCAGAGGTCGGATAGCTTGCAGGGGACGGAATCTCCTAGTTCCTCTGGTTCTGGACATACCCGTTCGCACTCGCGTGCCAATGGTCTACCCACTTCGCCGTACAATGGTCGGCTCAACGCACCGACGCAGCTTCGCTCGCAGCGCTCCTTTGATGAACGGGGTGGTCGTCTTTCGCCACGGAATGCTGAATTTGGGGGAGAAGCTTCTGGCGCGAAGCGCAGTCGGTCTGTTAGTCCTCATCCACCGGACGTACCCAGAAGTATTGAAAGTGGGACGGATACTGAGACGGACAACGGGAACGATTCGGATAGTATCATGCAGAGCTACTTGGACCGCAGTGATACTACTGCAACTGCACAGACACACTACCCACCTGCGCCGCCTCCGAAGGATCCGAGGACTGAAATAGTTGCTACTCCACCAGCGGTGGATGCGCGTGGTCGGAGTGGAAGTCAGCCGACCTCACAGCCCTCTTCAGCTGGCGCCGCCGATGGTGATGAGTACTTTGTAGATAAGGTAGAGGAGGAAGACGTCCTCCAGACGAACTCTGCTGTGACGCAGCGTACATCTGGGTTCTTCATCGCACCTGCGTTACCACCGATGCGGTTCTCTATGAGCGGGACGGATTTTAATGAGTTGTTTAATAATCTTGGTGGTTCGGCTTCTGCGAAACGATTGTCGATGATTCCGGGTGCGCGTGCTGGGCAGGTGGAGGGGAGTGGGAATGGTGGTGGTAACGGTAATAATAAAGATGGGACCATCCCCGAAGAGAGGAGTGAGGATTTGGATTTGGATGTGGCGACTGCAAGGACGCCTACTAGTCTTGCGTCTACGATTACGCCACTTCCTTCGGACATGATGCCCTCTACATCCGACAACGTGGCTTCGAGCGCAAGCGCGAATTCCAATATAAATGCGAATGGAAGTGGGAGTGGCCCTACGGTGATCAAGCCTGCAGAGAGGAAAGCTTCTTTGCGGAGAAAGGCACCTCCACCGTTCGAGATTGCTATGTATCCGAGTAACGAACGTATAGCTGAGGCGTCTTCGTCGTCTGTGACGTCTCCTATCTCGCCGAACAACTACAACTACGAGGAACGTGTTAGGTCACCTCGGAGGTCTTCGAAGACGGATGGGTCGAAGGTGGTTGTGGATGAAGCTCTAGGTTCACCTCGGTCGTCTGCTGAGTCTCGACGACCCACGACGCCCAAAATGTACGTCAATGGTGTAAATGGTAATGGACATGGACATCGACGTTCCGAGTCGACGTCGAAGAAGCAGGATGCTGCGGAGCTTGTTAATCGAAGGTTGAAGGAGGCGTTGGCGGATGCGACGGAAAGACAGGCGGATTATATTAAGCTTGATCGTGCGTTTGTTGAGGCTATTGTGCAGAGTTTGGACCAGAAACGGGAGCAGGTGACGGAGATATCGACGAAGCTCGATAGTATGAAGGTGCGTATCGTTCATGCATCCATTCATGAGAAATTTTTTTCTTCTCCGTTGCTTAATATATATAACTTACATTTGAATTTCTTCTGAAGCGAACAAGCCAAATGTTCTTTGATGGTCTTTCGGTTGCGCAGGACGAGTACAAGCAACAACTAGCGGCTCGACACAATGCCGAAGAAGAGGTTTCGAGGTTGAAGATCGAGGTTTCTGGACAGGCTGCTCGGATTACTGCTTTGAGTAGTGATGAGCGGAGGAGACAGGTGCAGAAACAGCTGGAGAAGGAGTTGAATGATAGTTTGAGTGGATTGGAGCAGAATTTATCAAAGTTGAAGGTGGAGAGGGATATGACTCTTGCGGAGGTTGAGGAGTTGTCGGCTTCGAAGACGTGAGTAGTTCCTTCCTTCCTTCTTCCCTTTTCTTTAAAACTTCTATTTCGCTTCCAAAGTAATGTGTGTGTGAGCTGATCAATGGATGGATTTGTAGTTCCGTACCGAATGGCGATGGACAAGGACAAGGAGCAAGTATCGGACGGTCGCTGACAATGCGGCTTGATAACATCAAGAGGCAATATCAACATGATCTCGTACCTCTCACGCAGCAGCGTGAGGCGCTCGTAAGGGAGATTGTGGATTTGAAGGAAGCGAGGGATATTTTCCTTGAGGAGACTGCGGTGTTGAACGCGAGGAATGAGGAGCTTGCGCAGTTGAATCAGCAGTATGAGCGGAGATTTGAATCCGGTGGTGGTGGTGGGCATTCGAGAGAGAAGTCGTTACCGCCTGTTCAGCCGGCAGCTGGGCAATCGAAGACGTCGATTGATAAGTTTGATAGTTGGAAGGCACGGCAGGGGCTGGGGCAAGGGGGTGCTGCTGGTGCTGGTGCCAGTGCGCAGGCGTCGCCGATGGTGAATACGACGTCGACGTCGAGCTCGGCGACCTTGATTGAGGATGTCGAGCAAGTCCGCCAGCAGAAACCTGCGAAGCCGGAGGTGGGGGATATACCTGTACGAAACCGGATTGGGTTACGCTGGCCGGGAGGGAAAGCGAATAAGGACGTATCTACGTTTGGTGGTGGACTTCCCACCGCGATGGATAATGGGAATAGTGGGAATGGGAAGGTGAAGAAGCGGATTGAGCATGCGTTCCAGCAGCTTAGCGTCTTGAGATTTGCGAGGTGTGATCTTTGTGGGGATAAGATGTGGGGGTCGCAAGTTCGTTGTTCCAGTACGTGCACATCCCTCTCTCTCTCTATATCGCTCTTCTTTTTAAGTTGATTTGGAGTCTCGGCTAATGATGTGTATGATTGACAGCATGCAACATGTCCGTACACGTCCGGTGTGTGGGTCAGGTACAGGCATCATGCCATGACGGATCAGCGAATGGTTCTGACGAACACCTTGCCCCGGTCGGTCCCCCACGTACGTACCTGATGATTATCTTTTCTATCTTCATTCATCCATCCATTCATCCATCCATTCATCCATCCATTCATCATTCTTCTTAAAAACTTCTTAATTTGCCTTGCTGATGATTTTTTTTTGCTGATATTTGAATATTTGAATATTTGATGATTTAGCGCCTTCGATGTTCGGAAGAGATTTGATTGAACAGGTACGGGAGGATGCGAAGACGGCGAAGAATGCGGACTTGTTCGTTCCGATTATTGTGGAGAAGTGTATTAATGCTGTTGAGGCGAATGGTATGTCTCTTGTTTATCTTGTTTATATTTTCTCGTTTGAGATTAGATTACTGATGGTCTATCCTTTTTTTTCGCGTTCTTTTATTTTCCCTTCCTCCACTTATAACTTATAGCAATGGATTACGAGGGTATTTATCGGAAGACAGGAGGTTCAGGACAGTCGAAAGCGATCACGGCTTTGTTTGAACGTGGGGATTACGAGTCCTTTAATCTGAGTGACTCGGATTCGTTCAATGATGTGTCGAGCGTTACGTCTGTGTTGAAGAATTACTTCCGGATGTTGCCTAATCCGTTGTTGACGTTTGGGATGCATGAGGCGTTCGTTGCTGCTGGAGGTTCGTACTCGTCACTTTACGTTGTTTCTATGTTTGGCGAATGTTAAATTTATCAATTTTTTTTAGGTATTAAAGATATGCAGGCGAAGGGCCAAGCGTTGAGGGAACTTGTGAAACAGCTCCCTGCGGAACATTATCATACGTTGAGCCGGTTGATGTCGCACCTTCATCGGATACAGCTTAATGCTGAAGTTAACCTTATGAACGCACGGAACCTTGGGGTTATATTTGGACGTACGTATCCTTCCATTTCCTCCTATGTTATTTTCCCGCATCGAGGTATTGATGTTGACGTTATTTGATTGCAGCCACACTCATGCGATCTGCGGACCCGAGCAGGGAATTTGCAGATATGGCGGGCAAGTCACTTGCGATTGAGTATTTGATTGAGAACGCACCGTCGATATTCCCGAGTGTTTCTGGTTCGTCGGGTTTGACATCTTAAGATTGGGGAATTGAGGACTATTCCTGTCGTTCGGGTTATTTATTCCTTATTCCCTATTCCTTATCCCTTAAAGCCTTTGTGTGGCTATCGTTATTCCATTCATTTACCGTTTTTTCGACGTTGTGTATTATGCGGAGGGACTCTTGACTCGTTCGTTCAGTATGGTTGCATGAGATTTGATTACGCGAGTATAGGGTTTCTTTCTTGGTTTTACGTGGGTCTTTCCTCGATGTCTTTCTTTCTTTCCTCACTTCTTTTATTTGATTGGCCCATCGTTCGTTCATCCTGCATTTTTATTATACGGCCTACATTTATGCATTACTTTATGTTCATGTTTTTCTTTTTTCTCTCTCTTTAATGTAAATAGTGTCTCTCTCTCTCACACTCTCTCCCTTGGTTTACTCAGCATCTCTCTTTCTTTTCCTGTTCTTTCCGTCTTCTTTCATTACTTTTTCCCATCATTTTTTCTCTTTCTCTTTCTCGTTTTCTTTGATTTGATCTGATTTGACTTGATGATATCTGATCATGGCATCGTGCATCGTCTATCATGTATCGTGTATATACCCCCTCTCTTCTCTTTGGTTTAGTTCCAGTTTCCGTCTTTCTCTGTCTGTCCGTCAATCTCTCTGTCTGTCCCTCTGTCTCTTTGTCTAGTTAGTCAATTCGTTGAAGTGACTTGGCTTATAGCTTATACAACAACCTTTTCTCTATTTACTTGTGTGCTTGTGTGTAAGTGTCTGAAAAGAATTTAAGAATTTTGAGGATCATGATAGGATAATGAGTAAGCATCACATCCTAGCTATGAGTAAAATGAGCTTGCTGAATGTGTATACTTAAGTTTGATAATAGATAGTAATTTATAACTGTTTGTATTACTAACTAATGACACTAGACCAGTTTTTAGTATGTGAAAGAAACTTGTTGTCTGTCTACCTGTTTCATACTAGTAGGAAATGAACTTGGCCAAATCTGAGACTAATGTGATTTGCCTTCTACCTTTCTTTCTTTCAAAGTTTCTAAGATAACTTAAATTCTTCTGAATACAATTAATCTCTTAACTAAACTTCTCAAAATTTGTATCTAAATTTTTGTTATAATAAATAGTAATCTATTCTATTTTCTGTCAGCAACAGTGTAGAGGGGACCTGAAGGCTCAGCAAGGGGACCCAGGCTACAACTATCCTACACAACAGAAATACAGAATGTAAGCACTGGAACATAGTCAGAACTTGCAGAACAGGCAGAGAGAGAGAGTGAGACAAGAGTAGAGTATATAGAGTGAGCCTAAGAGTACAGGACTACCTAGAGTAGACAAGATCAAGACTATAGGACCAGTCTGATCTTGTACACCTATATATACTAAACTACACAAGAGCACTCAGGGAGCATAAGCCACTAAGAATGATAAGCTACAAAGAATGAAAGAAAGGAATGTCAAAGATAAAGGTACAAAGAATGAAGGGATGGATAAAGGGTAAGAGACTATAGAATGAACAGAGAATGAAGGAGTGGTCAAAGGAATGGAATGATGAAGTAAGGAAGGGTAGTAGTAAGAGTCAGCATGTATATAGTTTATAAACAGTACCCCTGAGGGACAGAAGTCCTGAGTTCTAGTACAGAAGGGTGTAGAACCCTTAGAACTGAAGGTAAGAGAGTAGAGAATTGTAACATCACCCCCCCTCTAAAACCAATCATCCTGATTGGTAAACATTAGACTCAGTCAGTAGCTTAGGTATAAGTCAGAACAGTAGGGTTTGGAAATCTGTGAGGCAGAGTTGATGCAGAGCACCTGGATGAAGTTAATAGAAGTCTTGGATCACCTTAGTAGTATGGGTGAGATTCTTAGCAGGTTCCCAAGTATGTTCTTCAACTAAGTATCCCTTCTAGTAGATAAGGAACTTAAGCTTTCCATGCACTAGTTTGGCATCTACTACATACTCTACTTTGTATTCTAGTTCAGAACCAATGAGTTCTGGTAGAGACAGTAGGGGTCTTTGTTGTGAAGGAAAACCTGGATCATAGTACTGAGACAGTAGAACCTTGTTGAACACTAAGTGTATGTACTTCTATGTTGCTAGAAGTTGGAGTTTGTAGGTAGAGGTGCTAACCTTCTTTTCAATAATGAAGGGTCTGAAGTGCTTGTTGTCCAACTTCTTCATTAGACAATCTGTGGTTAGGTTAGTAGCTTCTAGTATAACTTTGTTACTAGGCTGGTAATCCTTGGCCACAGACCTCTTCCAATCATAGTTCTACTTTATGACCTATACTACCTTTTCTAAAAGAGCTTGTGTGTCCTCCCTGGTTCTGTGCATCCATTCTACAAAGTCTGTTACAGATTCAGAACTACTGTTTCAGTTCAGAACTGTCCCCTGGTACAAATGTCTCTTATGATTGAGGAAGAACAGGGACTGTCCTATTATAGAGTGTTACCAGTTATTGTGTACAAATTCTGTCAGAGTTAGCCATTCAGACTAATCCAATTACTAATAATTGATAAACATCTAGAGGTAGAGCTCAATCTCCTGATTGACTTACTCAGTTTGACTGTCAGTCTGTAGGTGATAAGTAGTAGAAGGGTTCCCTTAAATTCTAAGAAGCACATACAAGTCCTGTATGAATTTCAACTCAAATTATAGTCTACAATCATGAATGAGCTTCTAAGAGAGTCTGTACAACTGAAAGACATAATTCTGATAAATGTACACTATACCTTCAGAAGTGAGTTCTGTTCAGGTTGGAACTGTATAGACTTGCTTAGAGAATTAGTTGACAATCACACAGATAGTGTTGTAACCCTAAGACTTGAGTAGCTTACTAATCAGGTCTACTAAGACTTCTTCCTAAGAGTAATCTAGGATCTGATACAGATGTAGAGGAGCCCAAACCCTTATCTAGTAAGTCTTAGTCTGTTAGCACATATTGTAACTAGTTATGTATTTCAGGATTTCTCTCTGTATTCCAGACCACTAGTAGTTCTAAGTAATGAGTTCCTATGTTTTGTGTTGACTCAAATGTTCTACAGTCAGATTGTTGTAATAAGCTCAGACAATGTCCTTCTACAGTTTCCAATCCTTCAGAATGTACAGTCAGCCTTTCTAGTAAACCTGTCCATCCTCATCCTCCTCCTAATCCTTAGCCTACTTTTCTAGCTGCTTCACTACAATCTAGTCCTGTATGTGTTTCAGAGCTTACTGTATGTAGGTGACAAAGTTAACATTCTTGGATTTGAGTTGGATCTCTTAGATTGTCTTAGACACAAAATGGGAATTGTCTAAGAGAACAAGATTTTCATTATTATTCTCCCTCCTTTCATAACTTACTTGTCTTAAGAGTAAATCAGCTTTCATTATTTACATTCTGGGTTTGTAGGTTAGTACAAAGTTATAGTCCTACAGTTCTAACATTCAGTAGGCTTAATAGTAGTTAAGCTTCTGAGGTGCCTAGAAGTATTAGAGATTAAGGTGATCACTCTAAATCTTAAACTTCTATACAGTACTGAGGAGATATTAACACTACTCCTCTAGGGAACAGACAATTGTGAAGAGTTCCTTATTATAGATAAGGTAGTTCCATTCTGTTACAGAGAGGGATTCTAATTAGAATACTATCAGACACTACTTTCTGTCAATAAACTAGGACAGTACTACTCTATTTACAAAGTTGAAAGAGTTGGCTTTGACTTAGAACTTGTCTACAACTGTTAGAACTATTAATACAGGCTTACTAGTAATAGCCTACTTGAGGGACTCAAACACAGACTACTACTAATCATCCTATTACTAAGGAACATCCTTGCTAGTAAGATTATAAAGGGGCCAGGCAATAGTACTAAAACTTTGAATAAAGTATTAGTAGTAGTTTACAAACTTAAGGAACACTTAAACCTGTTTCAGGTTCTAAGATTGTAGCCAGTTCCAAACTGTAGTTACCTTTGTCAGATCTATGTAGACCTCTCCTCTACTAATTACAAAGCTTAGATAATCTACTGACTCCTGTACAAAGGAGTACTTTACTTCTCAGAGGAACAGTTTATTATTTTAGAGCTGTTGTAGAACTGCTCAGATTAGTTAGTAATAGTGTTTGACTGTCTGAGTAAAGATCAGAATGTTATCCAGATACACACTAACATACTCTGAGTTAATCAGATCTGTAAGGATGTGATTCATGAATGACTAGAACATTGTGAGTGAGTTAGTTAGTCTGAAGAACATTACAGTTAGTTTGTACAATCTGTAATTGGTTCAGAATACAGTCTTCTACTCATCTCTGTCTTAGATTTGAATATTATTGTACCCTTATCAAATGTCCAACTTAGTAAAAACCCTGAATGTATACATCTTATTAATAAGCTCCTGAATCAGGGGGAGCAGGTACTTGTTTTTAACAGTACCCTTATTAAGACAATGATAATCCTAAACTAGGTAGAGCTTCCTATCTTTCTTTTTAACAAAGAAGAAAGGGGAGGCTATAGAGGACTTTAAGGGTTGGATCTAACTGTTCTGAAGATTTTCCTGAAGGAACTTGTCAAGTGCCTCCTACTTGTCTCTGTTAAGTAGGTAGACCTTACAATCCTTAGGTTGGAAACCCTCAGTCAATTCAATTGTATAGTCCTAAGAACAGTATTTAGGAAGCTAGTCAAATTCCTCTTTACTAAAGACTTTAGAGAACTCTCAGACAAAATCTGGCAGGCTGAGTCTACATGTGTTCTAGAGTAGAGTTGTTCTAAGAGGGTTCCAGACTGGTTCCATCTTAGACATTCTTCAGATTGACTCTGTTCTACCTTGACTAGAATATGTATTTACATATTTATCTTAGTTGAAGAAGAACAACTAGTCACCTTTATTAGAACTGTTAGTAACATTAGAAGTGTTTGTATCTACTCAGAACAAGGGTACAAGGTAGCTGTAAGACTTAGAACACTAATCAAACATGAGTGTCTACTCTAACTAGTTAATAGTAGGGTTGTGAGCCTTAAGCCATTCAAATCTGATAAAGATGTCTGTCTTTCTAAGGTTAGTGACTCTAAACTCAATACTTTCCTTATGATCCTGAATAGTCATCTGTAGTTGGACAAACTTAGTAATCTGACTATTCTGGTTCAGGGTTCTGTCTACATTGTATACTAGAATCAGAAGTAGAACACATTGAGTAGAGAGGTAGTGTTCCTACATAAAAGCCTTATTAATGTATGAACTAGTGTATTTACTGTCTACTAGAGCTATTGTTCAGATCTGGGAGGATCCTGAGAAGGGAGCCAAGAGGACAGAGACCTGGAGCTAGTACTTAGAATGTCCTTAGATAAACTACTACTTGTTCTAAAAGGAATGTACAGTTTGTACAGCCTTGTTGTCTAAGAGAGTAAGTATATACACTAACATTTCCTTATTAACCTCTCTCTTTCAACAAGAACAGACTTATGTTCTTAACTATAAACTCAGCTGAGGCCATCCCTGCTTGATACTATAGACAAACTACTGAGTAGTGAATAGGGCTGGGTAGTGTTTCAAACATTCTGAAATCTTAGAACACAGAAGTAGTAGGTTAGATTGTACAGATTTAGACTCAAATAAAGTGTAAAGAGAAGAATCAAAAGAATCAGAAGAAATAGGAGAACTATCTACTTTTGTTTTCAACTTTTTTCTTTCTAATAAATAATTTTGTT